GGTCACAGAGGCTGGCGAAATGTTAGGAAAAAAAACTTCCAGAACACGGCCACATAGCCCGGAACACCCACACCAGCCATCATATTCCTGCTGTGAAAGCCTTCAACCTCTCATGTATGATTAAACTTGGAGATGGATAAAACAACTGGCAAGATAGGCTGCAAAATTATTCAGACCTAGGAGTAAATCCCACTGAAATCAGTGGGGCTCCTGAACTGATATATGTTCTAGGATTGTACTATTAGCTTTGAAGAGCTGGATCAAGATGATGATGAGTCAAATTTATAACTCATTCACAAAATGAAATTACAGAAAAATTGTAATTTTAAGTGGCATGCCTGAGGATGGTTTTTGATAGCAATTTCCAAAGGGCAGTCCCTTGGATCTGTCACAGCATAATTAATTATTGACTCCAGACCTTGGCAACAGCCATTGAAAAATTCTGTCTGGCACTTGCCCCCAGCTTGGCTTTCATCTTTAGATCTCAAAGATGCAGGAAGCAACAGAAGAGAAATGCCATTACCTCACATATGCTGGATCCAGTCCATATAGGATGTGAAGGGCTACATTTTAATTGTGTATTAAATAACTTCTGAGTGAGCACAGTGGTACTCTAACTAGGTAGGTCAGTAGCCTACTTGTAGTGGGCCTAAAACAGCTGTGGGGGATTGGTTATAGTTGGTATGGAAGGGTAGCTTCAAACAGGCATTCAAAAATGTCTTAGCATTGGTGAAGAGGCCAAGAAATCTAGAATAACAGTTAGAATTCTATAAAAAGCATGATTGGTCCAAGGTTCTGGCTAGGATTATAATGCAAGAAAAGATCTGTTTGACAGTTGAAAAATGATAAGCACTTGGTTTGCATTGAAGAAAGCAGTGTTCCTTTCCAATTTCTGGGAACCTTTATTTTTCTCCATATTGTTGAACTGAAGGAGTGTTTCTTGGCAGAAAGGCTTGGAACTGCTCAGTAGCACAGACTACCTTATGTCAGGAATGTTACTGTGACTGATGGAGATTGTCATAATTCGGGGATCTTAAGAGAAAGAGAGTCTAACCATACAAGGCATCCTCTTTGATCATATCCATAATATATTCTGGCAGCAGGGATTTGGCATCAAAGAGAGATCATCTAGGAGTTACTAAGATTCTCCAGCTCCTACTCCAAACTGGGTCCCTATTTGAGTGACTGAATAATGTGATGTTTTTAACCCTATACAGGTAGTCCTCACTTAACAGCCACAATAGGGACCGGAAAATTGGTTAAGCGGGGCAGTTGGTAAGCAAGTCACCATGTGACTGGACCCAATTTTTACCATTTTTATGACAGTCTTTAAGCGAATCACCACTGTCATTAAGCAAATTACATGGTTGTTAACTGAATCCAGCTTCTCCAATGGACATTTTTTGCCAGAGTTCGCTTAACAACCATGTGATTCGCTTAACGAATGCAGTGACTCACTTAACGACCATAGTGCTTTGCTTAACAACCATCATGAAAAGGTTGCAAATCGCAATCACATGACCGAGGGGGATGGTGCAACGGTTTGTGACGGTTGTAAGTACAAGTTGTAAAGTGCTTTTTCGAGGCGGTTATAACTTTGAACCGTTGTTAAACAAACAGTTGTTAAGCAGGGAGTATCTGTACTTGGCATCCTAAGCTGCTTAGAGCCTCCAGGAATTAGTAGCATACAAACCTAATTAAATTAAATTAAAAAATGACCAGAACGTCAGTGGAATAGCCAAAAGCAACTATCAGTTTTCCTGGAATTGCCCAACTGCTTTGGAGAGAAAGATGTGCTTGAGATAGATGGTACATGCGTGTTTCCTTCAAATCCAGATTATTGCATAGCCTTATCAGAGAAGTAGATATAAGACTGTACTTCCCTGATCTGTGTATTAGAACTGTTTCTGGTGACTTAGTGTTGAAAGGAGGCATTTAGCAATGTGTAGCTGAATACTGTTTATTTCAGAGGTTCAGAATTAAAAAGTTCTAGTGCTGTTGAAATGAGGTTCTACAACTACAAATGTAAAATGTTTTCTGTGCTACTTATTATCCTCTTATTATAAAATATGTTGCTCTGGATGACAATGAGAGCGCTGTAGAGTTGCCAAGTAAGCAGGAAACCAGCCTGGCATACTGTACTCATGTGCTTTTAACAGCAGATGTATTTGCAAGAAACCAGCAAACGTTTTCATACTCATGTTTGTAGATGAGATTGCATGTATGGCTTCTTTGAATAATCCTAAAATTTTAATTCTTTAATTTCAGTATTATCCCAGTGTATATGCTCTTATCATGGTGGACAGTTACTGGGAAAAGAAATATAAAGCAGACCCAGTTATTACATCTCTTTGCTATCATACACTAGTTAACAGGAAGAGAAAATTATGTGGGAAATTATATATTGAATTAAATCTCTCCTTCCACATGACTTTTGGCCACGTGCATGCTCAGAAATATTTTATGTCTCATAAAAATAAATTACAGGAGAGATGGCAAGGATGGTTTAGTTTGAGCCTGACTATTTTGAAGTGAATTTCTCTACATCAGCTGACTCATATTCTAGTGTATGTATCAACCAGCAAAAATCTCAGCTATTCTTCTGCTGTTTGTATAACTCAGGAAACTGAAGCTTTCATTTTATTTGAACTCAGTATAATAATAGGATATGCAATATACTATTATAGTTTTATCTAGACTTATTTCAGCATAATAGTAATAATAATAACAATACTGTATTAAATTTATATGCCACTAAACTACCAGAACTCTGGGTGGTTTACAATTGTTAAAACATTTAAAAACAAAGATCAATACAAAAAACACAGAAAGAGCACAAGTCAAAAGAACAGTGATGGCAAAAAAAAACAAAAAACAAGAAGGGAGCAGAAAGGAAGAAATGGGCATCAGTCATCTTCTCCAAAGGCCTGGGCAAAGAGGCCTTAAGATGTTAGGGACAGAAGTATTTTAGGCAAATTCTAACCATTTTTATATGGATAAGTCCAATACATACATATTCAGAAGTTTATCCCAATGTTATTTATTTGTACTGCAAAAGTCTCAGTGATTCACATACATCAACAGAAACAAAATTTTAAAATCCATGGTAAAATCACACAATAATCCAGCAGCCAATCTGATGAAGTCAGCTGTTCCCCCAAGAATCTCCAAAATAACTCAATATGTAATAGCTCGGAGAAAGCCAATACATGGCTTTTTGCAGCCCCAGAGCCACAGCACGCCAAAAGCCCCTTTGCATCACGCTTCTGGGCGAGGCTGGGGCTGGGCTTCACGCTACAGCTCTGGGGCTACACCTCATCAGCAGCAGGAAGAAGACGTGAAGGTCAGATAGGGCGCACAGAGCGCAGGGCAGCAGAGGTCTCAGAGTGCAGGGTAGCGAAGCTGATTGCAGCTGGGATTGGGCTGGGGCAGCTGCAGCTTCCCAGGGTGTGGCAAGCAGCCCCCAAAGGGCAGAGATGGGGGGGAGATAGGCAGGGAGGCTGGAGGCAATCCCTTATCTTACTGAGGCTCAGGGCTGTGTGGGACCAAGCCCAGAATGGTTTGGATTGGGGTGGGTCCTTGGCTAACAACCAGCAGAATTTGCTTAACAATTGCAACAGGGAACGCCAGGATTGCCAATGCAGTCATATGACATCTCACTTTACAACTGCATTGCTTACCAATGGAAATTCTGGTCCCAATTGTGGTCGTAAGTCGAGGACAAATTGTATACATTTTTGAAAAGCTTTTCTTGGTTTTGCTCTTGAATTTTCCTTTGAAAAGTGAAGTTATAAACATAATTAATTTTTTTATCCTTATTGACCTCTTTCAGAATTTCCGTTTTGGGTTTGTCCTTTACTTTTTCCAAGAGAATATGGTCACTGCACTGACATAACACCTCTCAGCCCGAGGAAGCAAGCAGCAAACCAATTCTGAAATTCTGCCAAGAAAATTGCAGGGACTAGCCCAGGCGGTCTCCAGGAGTCAACACTGACTCGAAGGCAAATAATTCCTTTATCTGTATCTTTAAAAAAAAAAAAAAGAACAGGGAAGGTGATCGTAAGAAAGATCCCTTTATTAATAAGACAACCGACCCCTCTGAGTTTTTTGTTTTATTTGGAATCCACCCGCGCCTCTTGCACCTCCACACGGGAGCTCTCAACAACGAATCCTTTCCCAGTCCTCTGGATTCGGGGAAGACATCCAATCCACTATTTGGAATCAGCCCACAGGCACGTGACTCCGACGTCTCGTTCCTTTGCCCAACGCGGACTTTCCACGCCCCGCCTCTGTTCAACACCAGGGCAAGGTCCCCGCTCCTTCCGCCACCGAGGCTCCCGCGCTTTCCCCAGGCCACAGCCACCCCGGCGACAACCTCCAGCGCCACGTGACCTAGTTCCGCTCCGAAGTTTCTTTCCGTCGCTATCTCTAGGGGTAACCGTCTCGCGATACCTTTTGTGATCTCGCTTGGCCGAGCGCTTTGGTCTCGCGAGATTCCCTCGACAAGATGGCAGCGCGGTCTTGCTGGTGAGCGGGGCGGCAGGTGGAGGGGACTTCGAAGGAAGCTCGTCTGGATTCGGAGGTTCTCCGCTCGCGGAGTGTCCCCGGCTGGGGGAATGCCGACGGGACGGGACTCGCCACCGCGGCTCTAAGCGCCCCGAGTCTACCGCAGCATTTGCAGCGCCGTGTCTCCCCATC